CTTGCCTGGATGCTGGCTTTCCCCCACCGAATAGCCGCGCTCCTGCACAGCCTCGCTTGCTGACGCTGTTTTAGAATGGTGTGAGGACAGCTGTCCATTCTGTCCATTTAGCAGCTCGGGGAGATCCCAGCTCTCCCCAACAGCAGCCCCTGAGGTATGTTATCCCTTCTCTGAGCTTCAGTCTGGCAGCAGAACAGGGAGAGTCGAGAAGGGAGGACACATAAAGTGGAAATGTAACCAAAATGCCCTCCTTTGGGACAAGACTTGCACAGAAGTGTTAGCCATACGTGTACAAAGCTGCTTACCTGGGTGGAAGGGCTTGGTCCAGGAAGCGGTGTGCTGGGGGTCTGTTCCCAGTGGGGCTCAGCATCAGTGCTTTCCATTGTGGCAGGATAAGTGTAGGAACCACTGGAACCAGCAGCCTGGTGGCAGGGGACATGTTTATCTCCCTCCTTGGACAGCACAGCCTGGCTTGTGCTTCGCTGTTGTCCCGTGGTCTCTGTCCCACCCCACAGCCCTGGCTGGAGCCCGAGTTACATCCCGGGAGCGGTGCCCTTGGGAGGGAGCACGGGGATGCGGGCGGTGCTGTGCTCAGGACAGGCAGCGGGACAATGCCACCAACCTGTCACCATCTCTGCGTTGTGCCCTGTCACAGCAGACAGCCTCCCGGTGGCAGGGGCCCTTGGGAAATAGTCTGCAAAATAGTGTCCCCTCTGTCCCCAAAGCCATTAGCATGGCGTGACTCAGCCTGTGCCTCATCCCGGCAATCGGCTTCTCTCGGTTTGCCTCCTGAGTGCTTTCTCTGCTCCTTCTTACTGCCTCCCATCGCTCCCCAGTCTGATCAAACCGAGCCCCTGCCTGCGAGCACTCGCTTTGTTTCTCAGCCGTTCCCTAAATCTGCGGTTTGTCAATAAACCGAATATTCTGAGAATGTTGTGTCTCCGGCCCCTGCTGCTGCCACGCTTTTCCTGGCAGCCTGAGCTGCTATTACAATTTCCGCGGGGTTTATTTGGAGAGGTGGAGGTATTAGTTTATTAAGAAAAGTAATTAAGCCCTCACCAACTCAACTTGCTGGGATTACCAGCAGTGACATATTTTTAAGTAATGCTTAAGTTTTTTCACGCAGCTTGGGTTTGCAGGAAGATCTTTCAGTCCTTTATTGCTCGAGACAGCGTTCATTGCTTTCTGCTTCTTGAGGTCTAGGTTTGCTGGGTACGTGGGTAAACCAAGCAGCTCACCAGCAGCACGGCGGGCTTATAGGGAGAGGGAGTATCTCTTACTCGATCTGGTGATATCAGCGTGGGGAGAGCGGCTTCTCGGCTTACCAGCCTGCTGGGATGGTGTTAAAGGGAAATGTAAATGGCTTGAGAGGAGCTGGCCTTCCTGCTGCTGTCTCCAGTGCAGTGCTGGCACATCTGCTGTTCGGGGACTCGGAGGGGGGAGTGTTGCTGTGACCAGTCTGTTTGGACCCTGATCTGTGTTTGCATGTGCTTTGCTGCATTTCCGCTGCTTGTATTTTTCCCAAAGTTGGGGATTGCCCCATCCCCTGGAGGGGTTCAAGGCCAGGCTGGATGAGGCTTTGGGCAACCTGGGCTAGAGGGAGGGGTCCCTGCCCATGGCAGGGGGTGGCACTGGATGATCTTTAAGGTCCCTTCCAACCCAAACCATGGTGTGGTGAAGTTGTTCCAGTAGAAGGGAAGCCCTGAATGTCATTAGACAAATGGGAAGAAAAGAGAAGGACTTGGGAAAAGTTTAACATTTTTTTGATTTTAATAAAACCTGGTGAAATGTTCTGTAAAGTAATCATTCTATGTCCAGAGCGATGTTTTCTTGTAAAGAGACAGTTAAACTGCCCTTGATTCTGGCAGGCAGGCACTCTGTTGGGTGGTACAGTGCCCAGCTCTCCTCTCCAGCCTGAAGCGTGAAGGGCTCTTTATGGTCCCTGATCATCCCTCGGTCCCAGAATTGTTTCCAGTGCTTTGTGCAGCAGGGGAGGGACTAACCCAGGGAACGTCAGTTTTGTGCAGCCCTCGCCCAGGATGCCGATGCAGGTGGTTGATGCCTTACAGCCCCAGCTCTCCAGCTTTCCGTGGTCCGGCCGTTTCTGGGGTGCGGGGAGCAGAGGGCAGCGGTGCCGTGCTGGAACCTGCCCACGTTGGTAGCACGATCCTGGGATCGCCCCAGCTTTAGCTCGCAGAACCATAAACACACGCAGCTGGTGAGGCTTTAATGCAGTTGTCAGCCAGCTGTGACGCCGATACAGAGAAGCAGAAGCTGTTCTGGCGTCTGTTTCTTAAAGTACAAAATGTTGCGGTGCGTAGTCCTTAGGCAGATTTGTGTGCTGCTGATTTCTGCCCTGCTGCATCACCACCAAAATGGGTTTTCAATAACAACCTTTCTAAGGGTGGGCTGAATTCTCCGCGTGATGCTGTGTCCTTCAGAAAGGCACGTTAATTAGGGACTTGAAGCTGGAAGTGACTTTTCCATCCAGGTAAATGTGCAAGCTTTTGATTTGGCTGAGGTGAAGAATTTTAAATATAAAAGCTATTCACAAACAGTCCGTTTCTATCAGTGTGAAGCACATTTTGGCTTTTATTTGTTTTTA